AGCTATTTTGTCCAAAACAGACTGAAAGTATCGATACTCCTATAAAAGTTTCGATACTTTCTATAAGTATCGATACTTTTAAACATTTTGAACCTCCTAGTTTCGATACTTTCTAGGAGTTTCGAAACTATGACCCAAAGTATTGATACTATTGAAAGAGTATTAATACTCTTGACCAAAAACTTACGAGTTTGCTTGAGAAGAATATCAAGTTTCGATACTATCCCTCTAGTATCAAATCTCAATCTGCAGAGAGCATAAAATAGGTGTAAAAACTCCTATTCTACTATCCCAAATACCTTAGTGAGGTCCCCAAACATTATTATCATTATTTTATGTAGATACAAAAGAGTATAAATAGGGCTTTAAACATGTTTATAACTCTAAAACATGAAATCTATCATGAGAATGATTTAAGCTTATGCAACATACTACATTTCATCTAAATGACTTACATATGGTATAGTTGAGTCAAGAGTGAGTTACCTTTGATGTTATATTGCTGGAAACGTCAAATGCTCAGCCCAAAGTAAAATTTTTCTTCCCCTTATCTTAGGAGCCTTCTCCAACCTCTTGCACTAAACAAAACCAAATGCAAGGGTTACTAACTGTTGCTAGGGATTAAGGAGAGTTTTAAAACACTTCCTAAGGCTAGAAATATCTGAAAATGGGTTGGAACCATCTACTTTCTTAAACCCTTCTAAAACTCATTTTTACAACCATGGCTAAAACTTGATCTTAAGGTCTGAAATGAAAGCTCAAGAGGTGTTGGTTTTGATTCTTACCTTGGTTTGATGAAATAGACTGAAATTAAACCAAAACTTCCACCTTTGCTCAAGAGAATGATGAAGAAGAGGAAGAAAACTTGGGTGAAGAAGACAAATGTGAAGAAAAAGAGATGATGAAATTTAGACGGTGATATAACCAAATTTTAATAGAAATCAGTTTTATTTTTGAACAATGGTATAATTGCTTCCTTGGTCCCTTTAATTTTGATTGCAGATTAAAATCACATTTTTTATTCACAATTGGGCTTACCTCAAACCCAAATTCTCTTTTATTTAGGTCAAGGCTTCCTACAAGCTAAGGAATTAAACCAAGGCCCATCTTAGGTTAGCCCAATACTTCTAACACGGGGTTCGGGGCGTTACACCTTGGGTGGAAACAACAACCTCAACCATTGCTCTAAGACAAGTTTCTGGTATAATACTTACATCATCTAATATTTATCTTATAATATAATGAAGGCCAAACCAATGGAAATAGAAGCAACACTAAAGCTACTCGATCCAACCCGATATAAATTGTTAGTTTATTCTTTTATATCTATATTCAAGGGTCGAGTTTAAGGAAAAAATATATTATTTTTACTATTTAAATTATAATAAGTAATTATAAATGTATTATTTTAACTATTTTAGAGAATTAATATATTCAAATCGGGTAGGGTCGAGTTTAAGGTAAGAAATCACCTACATGACCCAAACCAATATAAATTACTAGTTTACCCTTTTCATATATGCAAACCGGATCCAGTTTAAGGTAAAAATATTTTATTTTAACCATTTAAAATATAATAAATAAGTATATTATTTTAACTATTTTAAAATATTAATTTATACAAATCAAGTCAGGGCAGGTCGAATATAAATAATATATTTTTTGGGTAGAGCGGGTTGAATATAAATAATATATTTTAAAATATTAATTTATTCAAATTAAGTCGTTTTAGTTTTGCTTCTATTTTCATTGTTCTGACCTTCATTATATTATAAGATAAATATTAATGTGAGTATTATACCAAAAACTAGTCTTCGAGCCGTGGTTGATGTTGTTACCTCTATCTAAGGAGGCCCAAGTTTGATCCCTCCACTCCCCCAATACTCAATATTGTTTAAACTTATTTTCCTTCCATTAGATGGTGTCACGTGTTACCATCTGATTGGAGGAAAAATATTTAAATTAAATATAAACTAATTAATAAAAAGCCCTCCAATTATATTATGACATGTGTCATCATATAATTGGAGGATTACATATATTGAATTAATTTAAAATTATGACCAATTTGATTGACTGTGTAAGTAATAAGGACTAAACGTAAAGTATACCAATTTTATTAACTACCACGTCAGAACTTTCGTTAACTTTTAAGGACAAGTAGCCTGATTGAATGCATTTAAATAGTTGGATGGTTTGATTGACAAGAATTAAAAAATGTTGATCGAAATGAAAAAGAGACTATAATTGGGTGGTCACTAGTATAATTTATCCTATTATTTTAGGAATCCAAACGCAGACAAGAACTGAAAACCTTGATTGAAGTCTTGTCACTTGTACATATATATATTCCCAGAGTGCTGACAAAAACTATGAAAATCCATGTGGGAATAGGTATGGCTATAGAGAGCTTGACATTGATTTTTTTAAGCAGATGAATATAATAAATGAAAGGATTAAATGATTGGGCAGTTCATAATGCAATCTAGGACAGCCCTGTTGATAATATAAACAATTTAGGAACCATATTCTCCATCTTCATTTTACAAGGAAAAAAAAGCAAAATAATAAAAGTGAAAAATGGAAACATCATTATGAAATACAGTGTTTTGAAAATCAGACCGGATCAGTCGGTTCAACCGGAATCGCTGTCTGGTCTGGTTCATTCTACATCGGTTAAACCGTTACTAGTAAATCGGAAGGAACCGTTGAATCGGCTGTGAACCATTCGAACAGGACCGGACCGTGAACCGATTGAAAACGATAGAATCGGCTCTAAAAAAAATTAAATCAAACGACGTCGTTTGTTAAACAAGCCGAGTTAACTCGAGTATTGCTAAGCTCGAACTCGAAAACTTTAAAGTAAGTTCAACTCGACTCAAAAACTCACGAGCTAAAAATTATCAAGTTCAACTCGAACTCGAAATATAATATTGAAACTTGAACTCAAAAAGGCTCGAACTCAAAAAAATTTAAAAGTTCGATTGAAGCCTGAAATTCGAGCTCGATTGAAGCGAAAGAATAGTTCGCTATGTGATCACCAAAAGACTCTATGATTTTAAATGTCAAATTACCTCTATTATTTATAGAAGTCAGTTGGGATGCTCTTCTATGTTTCTTAGCCATGTAGGATTGTTTTGTTTTCATATTTTTACTCTTTAAACTTTTGTGATGCTCTTCTATATTTCTTAGCTATGTGTGATTTTTTTTAAATTAAACCAAACGACATCGTTTGTTATGATTTTTTAGCCTCAAATTTATTTTTGATTATAGTTATATAATTATATTTATTATTTAATATGTTTTACCTTAAATATTATGTTGTAGTTGATTTGAATCATTTTGTTTCATTGATTTTATGGTTTTTAACTTATATATGTTATGACTTGCTTTGAATATGACTTGTGATATAAAAAATTATTTTTTATTAAATGTTTTTGGTATTTTTATTTAATTTTTTAAATAATTAATTAATTATGACGTCGTCCGATTCTTTCGACCGGTCTGACTAGTTCAACCGATTAAACCAATGAACTGATAGTACGACCGGTTCACTTACTGGTCCAGTTTTGTGATGAAATACACAATTCAAAGACTAATTCGTGTATTAAGGGTAAGAATTTAAAAGCAGTAAAGTCAGGTTGACCATGAAGATGAAGTTTAAATCTTACTGTGTTTTCAGTATGGTTATCAAAAACGGATCGGACTGATCGGTTGAACCGTGAATCGGTGGTCTGTCCGGTCCGGTTACCTCACAAAATCGAACTGGAAATGAACCGGCTGAAAACCGGTAAAATCGGGGTGAACCGGCTGAAAACCGGTTTGAACCGTCGGTTCATTTTTTTTCTTTTAAAAAAATTAAACCAAACGACATCGTTTGTTCAACGAGCCAAGTCAAATTCGAGTATTGCTGAGCTCGACTTGAACTCGAAAACTTTAAAAGTAATCTCGACTCGAACTCTAAAACTTTAAAAGTAAGCTTAACTCGACTCAAAAACTCACGAGCTAAAAATTATCAAGTTCAACTCAAACTCGAAATATAATATTAAAACTTGAACTCGAAAAGGCTCGAACTCAAAAAAAATTTAGAAGTTCGATTGAAGCCTAAAATTTGAGCTCAATTGAAGCAAAAGAATAGTTCGCTCTGTGCTCACCAAAAGGCTCTATGATTTTGAATTTCAAATTACCTCTATTATTTATAGAAGTAAGTTGAGATACTCTTCTATGTTTCTTAGCCATGTGAGATTGTTTTGTTCTCATATTTTTACTCTTTAAACTTTTGGGATGCTCTTCTATGTTTCTTAGCAATGTGAGATTATTTTTTTTTAAATTAAACCAAATGACATCATTTATTATGATTTTTTAAGCACCAATTTTATTTTTTTGATTATAATTATATTTATTATTTAATATGTTTTACCTTAAATATTATGTTGTAGTTGATTTGAATCATTTTGTTTCACTTGATTTTATGGTTTTTAATTTATTTATATTATGACTTGTGATATTTTTATACATTTTAATATTGTAAACTTAAAAAAAGTGTTACATATATATTAATATTGCTTTGAATATTATGTAAAATTAAAAAAAAATATTATTTTATATAAAATCTGATTCAACCGCAGTTGAACCCGATATATCAATGAACCAGTACCTTCATCGGTTCAATATCTGATCCAATTTTAAAAACATTGGTTTTCAGACGAAAAAAGAAAGTAAATGTAAATAAAGAAAAAAAGAGGGAATTTTGGTTAATAGTTAAATGCGAGAATATTAAAAAAGGGAATCTTTTTATTTACTTACATTTTGTAATTGGAAAGTTTAGAGCTTTCCTTTGATGTGGACCTGTTGTCTTCTTCCTCTGGAAGAGAGAGAATATGAACATCCCATCTCTTACCTTTTGTCTTTAATTGCTCTATAAATCACTCACCCAAGACGACTCTCTCTTTCTCAGCATTTTTCATAGTTTTTTCCCTTTGCGTTCTTTGCACTTAAAAATGGAAGAATTGGGTTCTTTATGGAATTATCAAGAGGTGGGTTTCTTCTTCCTTTCCTTATCATTTCTCCTTTGTCTCAACGTTGTTATTTTTTTATGTCGAAATTAATGGTTTTCAAATTTTCATTTTTCTGACAGAATGTTGATGAACTGAAACTGAAGCTTCAATACAGTGCAATCGAGCTGGAATCTGTGAGAATGGAAGCCGGTGAGCAAATAAGGAAATGCAAGGAGGAGCTGGAGTTTATGCTCCATCTCCTGAACCTTGCATACCAAGAAAGAGACGAAGCAAGAGACCAATTGCAGAAGATGCTCAACAAGTTAATCCCTTATGAAACTCCGTTTATGATTGCAGCAAAAACAAACTCCAGTATAACCGAATCAAACAGTTTATCAGACACGTATAATAATCATCACTCTCACGGTTCTTCCCCTGTTGATTCCTTGTTCGATGCCGTTACTTCACCTGATTTTCCCATCATTAAAATGGCCGATTCAAGTGGAATTGGGCTTTTGAATCAACCTTTTGCTTCCGTTTTAGTCCCGTCAACGGTGGCGACCAAGGTTGTCGATGCTGAAACCGCTGTGATCGATAACCTTGCAAGGGGTAAAACTCTGCCTGAAAAACGGAAGCTTTTACAGGCTGTAATGGAGGCTGGACCTCTTCTTTCGACTCTGCTTGTTGCCGGTCCTCTTCCTCGATGGAGAAACCCTCCTCCTTCCGATGCTTTCAAAATCCCCCATGTTTCCATCAAGGCATGTGATACTAAAATCCATACCAAAACACCGGTTGCCAGTCCGATTAACCGTGTTGTTAAAAAAGGAGTGAACTCGTCATTGTATCATGAAGTGTCACGTGGGACTTATCGAATGTGTTCATCGGCCATGTTGGGATTTGCAGGTTCTGGCTCTACTTCATGGCTGAGTCAGTTACCGTTGAGTTCAGATGATGGTGTTAACACTCAAATCCCAGTCACAAAGCGGCAAAGGTTTTAATGAGCCAGTCACTGTTGGCTTCAGTTTCGTAAAGATTAAAATTTTTAGGTTGAAGTGGTGTAAATTTGACACTTTATTTAGGGGAACGAATTGAGTGGGATGATATATCATAGTTGTTTTACATTTTCTCTCTGTTTTTTTTATCGTTTTATATATAATTTATTTTATTTTCTTAGCTATCAACCCGAATGAAACCAATTCAACTTTTAAATTGACTTGACTCAAGACTAACTCTCACCCTATTGATAGGCATAGGTCGAAACAGGTTCATCTTGTTTGATGTAACCTCAACTTCCAAATTGACTTGACTCAAGACTAACTCTCACCCTATTGATAGGCATAGGTCGAAACAGGTTCATCTTGTTTGATGTAACCTCAACTTCTTAAACCTTAAATAGCATTGAAAACTAATCGGTTGCAGCGCTATATCAGTAGACGTAGCTTTGCGAATGAAGGAGAAAGACAGAAGCAAGCAGTCATGAAGCCAAAGAAAAACTGGTTATTAATTTGAATCATCAGGTTTAAGGAGTAATATCGAAGAAGAAAAGTGGTGAGTGAAAAGGAAGGGTCTTGTCTCCGGAAGGACGGCGGATTGTTAGGCAGAGTGATGAGGACGCATGCGCAATTCAGACCTCAATTGCAGCAAACAAGGGGGCAACTTTCCACCTTGCTCCTTCACTTTTAGACTTCACCATGTAATGATTGGGGCATTAAAATATCATACGACTCACTGACCTACTATGTCTTCCTTTCAGACGTGAGCCTTTTATGTTTTTTTCTTTTGTCCGCTTTTCTTTAGTTTTTTTGATGAGCAACTAATTAGGGTTGTCACCCTGCAAAGTTTGATATCAGAAGAGAAACCATTGATTGTGATTGTTTGGTATCTACTAATCTACTATATTAGACTCAATCGAATATGCCAACTTGGCTGGTTAGACACTTTTGACCGTCTTCCAGATGATAGGAGAGTGATTAGATCAAATTTATTTTCTAATTAATATATATGATTTTCCATTGGATATAAAATGAGACCACATTTAACAATTCAATAGAAGAGATTTTTTCTCAAGTATTAATAGCTAAAACTCAAGCATTGATCCATTCTAAACACTTCTGAAGACAGATCAATGAAAGATCACAGAAGATTTATGTGACGGTAAAGAAAGATAACTATAAGAGCTAAAATCAAATATCCCTGCTTAGTCTCTCAAAAGTATCTGTCTCTCTCTTTGCAACAAAATGGGAAAAAAATAAACCCTTCAAAACAAGCTATAGTCACCAATTGCTTAGATGATTCCAATTTTGTTGGCCACATCCAAGGCGTCATAATCGGGAGTCAACCTAACGTATGCCTTCTTTGTGCCATCAGGCCTGAATCATGAGAACCACGTAAATCAAAACAATGTCCGTAATATCATGTTGTAAGCATAACAGAAAGGGTAGCAAAAGGGTAAGGAAACTAAATGAATGGATCATCAAGAAACACAACTGAAGAATAAAATCACAAGAAAATACATACGGCATATACTGTTACAGAGAATTCAAAGCACGGTTTATTCTCAGTTCTCCACCTGTTGTAGCCTTCTAATATCATATTAACTAGCTCATGAATATAGAAATAGTTCACAAGCATAAATGAAGTTTTTTTAACCTGATCAAGGTGTTGACTTTCTTGGCCTGAATATCGTACATCTTCTTCACAGCATCCTTTATCTTCTTCTTGTCTGCGCGGATGTCAACAATGAACACCAAAGTATTGTTGTCCTCAATCTTCTTCATTGCAGACTCAGTTGTGAGGGGAAACTTGAGAATCTGATAATGATCAAGCTTGTTCCTTGGTGGGGCACTGATGCGTGGATACTTGGGGTTCCTATCTTTCTTCAAGGTCTTTGGCCTGTGAAAAGTAACCTTTGTTCGGATCTTCTTGACCTTCTTCTTAAAAGTGGGTCCAGATTTCACTGCTTTGGCAGCTTTCAAGGCCTGTGCCTTTGGATCTCCCTTCTTCTCAACTGCATGGTATACAATAATTCAGATAATTAATGAAAATCTATAAATAAAGTTATCACCATACATTGTCTTCTAGAAGAAACCTAAGCAATGCATCTCCAGTATCATTGCAAAAAATCATATCCTACAAATATCGCTTAAATTAAATTATAAAAAACTGTCCCCATTAAGATTAAACCAATATAACACCCAAGCCAAGATTATATTTAACTTCAGAGGCATCACCAAATTCATACAAGTTCAATAAAAACAATTAACCTAACATGGGAAAACCCCTAGTCCAGAATCTAAATTTCCAAAGCTATGAAATCAAAAGTCGTGTTAATGAACATAAGTATCTGGTAAATTCTTTTCCCTTATAAATCTAACACCAGAATACGGTAACAAAGAAATCAAAATCAGACCTCACAGTAGCAGAGAGTTCAAAGAAAAGCAATAAAAGAAAAACAATTTCTGAAAAGAACAAATAAATTCTAGCATATACGATAAATGCCATGATAAGATTAAGTTATAATTCTAGCAGAAACTTAAGCAATGTTGTCCCCAGTACCATTGCCAAACCTACATATCACTTCAAATAAATTCTAAATAACTGTTTCAGTTAACAAGTTCAAAGGGCTCGGTGGAATACCCATTGATCCAATCATTCAATATATAACTAAGCCAAGGTGATATGTTTACTTGAGAGACATCACCAAGTTCAAATCAGTTCCAATGCAAACGGTTAAACAACTATGGGAGAAATCCAAATTTTCCAAAGCAATGAAATGGGAACTCATGCTGTGGGGAAAAACAAGTTATTTAACAACAACCAGTAAACAACACAAAATAAAGTAATTTGAAGCTCATTTCGATTACTTATAAAGCAAAACGGTAAAGAAGATACCAGATATTCTCATTGTAGCAACCAACCAACAAACAAAGAATAAGCAAACGAATCAAAACTTGAACAAGCATCACCATTGTAAAAGGAGGAGTGAGAGAAAAGTAATATAAAGTATATTCAAATCCAATACCTTTGGGTGCCATTGTTTACAGCTGCCTCAACCCCTTCTAAACCCTGCATCAGTGAAAAAATTACAAAACAAATGAGCCGGAAATCATTTTTAACAATATCGAAAGAAATGAAAAAGGTGGAGGAGGAAAGGAGACCTGTGGATAGGAAACGAGCGGTACTAGGGTTTGCTGGAGGAGATGAAGAGGAAATTAGGATTCGTTTCGTTTACGGAATGTAAGATTACCATTGGGAATAAAAGATTATCAGGAAATAGGATTACTAGGAATATTGTATTTTGTGTTTGGTTGGTTTAGCAGGAATTTAAGATTACCGCGTTTGGTTAAAGGAATAAAATTATTGGAATGTATATTTGACCAAATTATCCTTATTATATATTTGTATAATATTACAAATTGTAAAATATTTATATATTTTTTTAAAAAATTAAATTCATAATATTTATATAAATTTTTTTATAAAATTAAAATATAAAAAAGATTTAATGAAAGGGTAATTTTTTTTAACCCTGAACTTCATATAAAATTTTAATTATAGATTTTTTTTGTAAATCTAAAATAATTTAAGGATAAATTTGTAATTTAACTTTCGTATAATTTTTATTATTCAATGACAGAATAATAATATTTTTGAAAAAAAATAAAAATTTAAGGGCATTTTAGTTTAAAACACCGGTAATGTTACAATACCTAAGGAAATGGAGGTAATGACATTCCCGGTAATATATCTCAAAAAATATACTATTGGCAATAAAACATTACGGGAATAATATTCCCGACCAACCAAACATGAAAATGTGGGATTCCTATCCCATGAAAATCCCACAATCCTTGAATCAAACACTCCCTTAGGGTTTATATAAAATATCTTCTTAATCACGTATGACCCAATGGGCTATGATTATCGGGCCAACAAATCCAAAAGTCCACAATTAACAAGTCCTGGTTCGTATTATGTTTTGGATTTTTTATATGGGTTCAATTAATGGGGGTCTATAAAATATTAGGATAAACTACAAGATTATTCACTTATTTTAATTTAGTACATTTTTTATCAATGATTTTGAAAAAAATATTTTGATAATTTATATTATCATTTTTCTTACGTTTTGATCACTTAATCATTGATACTTATTACTTTGATTTGTGATATTATTGATGGAAAAATGGTGTATGGATGATTGTAGACGGTTCACCCCTTATGATTTAGACGAAAAACTGCAGTCAATGACTTTTGTGCAGAAGATAAAAAATGGTAGGCTCAATAAAATGAACAATAAAGTACTCGAAAAGAAAAAAAAAAGAGAGTCATCCTTCTATATCCATGCGTGTTAGTTTTTATACTAACCTTTAGTGTTGGTTTTCGAGTCTAATGTAATGATGACTATTTATAGTTTGACATATTAAATAAATTTGGTTATCAGATTTTAGATTATAGAACATATGGGTATGTGTAATGTCACGTTAAAGTATGTAGTTGTTCGACAAATGCAGAATTTCGGAGGAGGATATGAAGTTTTGGATGCTTCGAAGGACTCAAGAGGTCTCAACGTTTAGTAGACATAAGAACGATAATGAGAGTGTGATTTCTGAATGAGGTATAATATACGAATTAATTTTTAAATATTAGACGTATTTAAAAAATTCACCGGAAAGTGGACAAATATTCGAAGTTATTAAGATTTAACATTCAGAAGTAATCAAAGAGTTTAATTAATTTAATTTTTTAGTACTAAAATATAGCTGGCTGGATTAAAAAAATCAAGGTTTTAGATTTTTTTTTCACCGTAAAGCCTTATTTTTATTATTATTTGCTTTATGTCTATCCTTCATTTCCATGCAAATTTAGCAACAAATGCAGCTATTGTTTGTCCAAACTGCTGAATGTTTCTCTAATTTCGTTTAAAAATATTCTGAAAAAAGTACCCCGGAAATCCCATGCTGAACATGATAAACAAACACTTACAAGTACATTAATTTCAACTGTCATCAATAGCCAAGTTGTTCAAATGATGTATAAGCATAACATTAAAAAGGAAAAAAAAGAAAGAATGCTCTATCCATTGGCTTTCAAAATTGTGTCTATAATCATATGTTTGAAGTGAAAATTATTCTGGGTTTGGCTCCTCATCCGATTCTTCTTTCTTGTTTACAGATGGTTTGATAAAACCAGTCAATGGTCCTTGTAGATCAGAGCCATAAATATGGCCCATCTTGGTACGTTTTGTTTCCAAGTACCTCTTGTTTTCCTCTGTAACGGCTGTCAAAACCGGCACTCTTCCAATAACAGCCAACCCATAACCCTTCAGACCTGTGAACTTGGCTGGATTGTTGGTCATCAGCCGCATCGTTTGCACGCCTATGTCTCTCAGAATCTGCGGTTCGTTGAAGGCGAATATGTTCAACATTTGTTGCATGTGAAGGGGGTGGAATTTATGCGACTAACCTGGGCACCGATGCCGTATTCTCGAGCATCATGGCCCTGGTCTTGCAGGTTATAGGCTCTCAGCTTCTGTCCTAGTCCGATCCCTCGCCCTTCATGACCTCGAAGGTAAACCACGACTCCTCGACTAGCTTGTTCGATTAACTGCATTGCCAAATCCAACTGGTTGCCACAGTCACATCTTGCCGATCCGAAAATATCCCCAGTTAAACATTCTGAATGAACTCTCACAAGAACGTCTTGGCCATTCCCTATGTCTCCCTGTTTAAGGTTTGTAAAAGAGAGAATCGCAGGTTTGGCATACTTTTTGGACACCGAAGTTTATAAATAAACAACTAAAGTACCTTAACAAGTGCTATGTGTTCTGTTCCATCTAGCTTTGAACGATAGCAGTATGCCTGAAATAGACCCCATTTCGTAGGCAGACGTGAAATCGCAGTTCTTTCGACGATCTTTTCCCTCTATCTCCGGTACCTTTCAAATAACAGCCCACAGTTAGTCTGCAACTAAGTACACAAGAAGCACAAACTTTCCACAGATTCTGGTATAGAGTCTGTCTATGAGTAATACACTTGTATTATGTAACCCGGACTCGTCATTTCCGCACCCATGTTCGACATATTTGGATATGTTAAGGGTTTATGATCCTCCAAATATACGGATATCCGACCTATGATCCGTGAACATTAGGTATTTAAAACTGGGTACCCAACCGGGTACTAAAATGTCGGTCCGGACTTCCAGGTACACATAAAATTGGGTACCCGTATTTTCAGATCACGGGTACCCGGTTCATAATTTTTTTCCTTTAAATTATATTATTTTTATATATATATATATATATATATATTATATATAATTCTAAAATTTAAAATTTAAAGTTCTATAATATATAATTCACGTATAAAATTCAAAAATTCAAATTAAATAATTGGAAAAAATTAATTAAATAATAAAATAAAAATATAATTAAATTTCAATTGCTTCGAAGTTAAAATAAATATTTTAAAAAATAATTTAGAATGTTATGGTAGAAAATTTTAAAGAAATTAGGAATTTAGAATGTAGAGAGTGAAATAATTTGAAAATTATAAATAAACATTTAATATATATATATATATATATATATATAATAAACCGGATACCGGGTCGGTGGGTGCACAATTAAGTAATATTTTGTGACCTGGGCCCGACTAGAAAACCCGAAAAATTTAACGAGCCAGGTACTTAGCCAGGAAAATCAGGTATTTTCAAAATAAATACTTGATATTTTTTAACCGGGTTGGCGGGTAACCAGGTTAGATATTTTTAAACACCCTAGTGAACATAGCTTTGTGTGAGTGATTAGATCATTATCAATATCAATGTATCAAGTTAGAATAAACAATGACATTTGAAAGTGCAAGACTAATACCTAATCAACTGCATTCAGAAACCAAGTCATGTTTTGAAGGCTCACCTAATGAGATCAGTTATTGAAATAACTGGTATGTTGTGCTTCAAAGCCAACTCTCTTATAAATGGCAAAGGTGCTATAGAGCCATCCTCTGGATCAGCGACAGTTGAAAGACCCGAAACAGGACGTAAACCGGAGAGGATGACTAAATCGACGGAAGCCTCGGTATGACCAGCCCTCCTTAAAACCCCACCATTTCTATACTTGAGAGGAAATATATGACCTGGTCTTCTGAATTCATCAGGTTTAGCATCCAGGGATGAAAGTGCAAGAACAGTCTTTGCCCTATCCGAAGTAGAAACTCTGGTCGATGTGCCGGTTTTCGCATCCTACCGAATCTTATAAAGTTAACAGAGCAAATAGCAATCGAGTAAGTCCTGCTATATCGAGAGAAAAAAGCATACCACTGTGATAGTAAAAGTAGGAGTAGAAGAATCTCCGTCTTCGATTTCGGGGGACATTAAAGGAAGCTTAAGCCTTTCGAGATCCTCCTCTTTCATACCTACGGAAACAATGCCGGAACCATGCTTTACCATGAAAGCCATCTGCTCCGGAGTCGCATGAGAAGCTGCCATGATGAGTGTTCCTTCAAAATTCTCATTTTCATCATCTACAACAATCACAAACTAAGAAAACAATGCAATGAGCAAAATGATTGTCATTGGCAACACAAACAAACAGTTCCATAGAAGCTTGAATCAAAGCAAACCTTTCCTTGGCGGATTGTATTCAATGCCTGCTCGATCGAAGCTAATCCCTTCGAAGGGCAGTCGGGATCGCCCTCGGCATCGCTAACAAAGAAATCAATGGTTTCATAATCAGGGGTGATTTTAGCATCTAGTGTTCCAAATGGTGCTGAAGATGACTCGTCATCATCAAGTGCACCCAACAAGGCTCCATTTTCAGACCCCTTCAAGGACTCATCATCAAACAAGTCTCCAGCTCCAATCCCAGACACACCCAGCACTACAGCAAAACAAGTTTTTGCGAAGTTTTTTTACCTTTAGCGGCGTTTATAAGCGTCGCTAAAAACACATGCTGCGTTAAGACAAACGCCGCCGTTGAAAATAGTGCCGCTAAAATTTACGGCGTTTTTTCACAAAAAACGCCGTAATAGGTGTTGATATTTAGCGGCGTTTGTCATAAAAACGCCGCAATAGGTGTTGATATTTAGTGGCATTTTATAAAAATGCCACAATAGGTGTCGATATTTAGTGTGTTTGTCATAAAAACGTCGCAATAGGTGTTAATATTTA